TCGTTCTTTTGTCTTTAGTCTTCTTTCATACGTGTTAAGTCTTCCTTCACTAGTTCTCAGTCTTCTTCATTTCTACCTTCAATCATCTTCCTCCTTTCTTTAGTCTATTTTCTTTTGTTTTCAGTTTGCCTCCTCCTAGTTTAAGTCTTCTTTAACCAGTTCTCATTGTTCTTTTTTCTCTGTTCTCAATCTTCTTTTCTCCCTCCCTAGTCTTCTTTTTTCTTTTGCTTGTCTTTTTTATCTTTCTCTAGTTTTCTCTCTTTTTTCTTGTTTTCAGTTTTCTTTCTCTGTCTTCAGTAATCTTTTTTCTGTCTTCCTTCTGCAGATCTTAGTCTTCCTTTTTCTCTCTCTATTCTTCTCTCTTCTTTTTTCAGTCTTCTTTTTTATTGTTTTGTTTTCTCAGTCCTCTGTATTCTGTATTCAGTCTTCTACTATGTTTGCTCTTCTTAAGTTCTCAGTTTTCTTCTTTGCCATTCTCAGTCTTTCTCCTGTCTTTAGTCTTCTTACTTTTGATTCAGTGTCCTCTCTACTGCCTTGTTACAATTGTCTTATTTCTTGTTTATGTCTATCAATCATTTAGTCTTTTTTTCTTCCATCTTCCATCTGTTTTGTTTTTTATTCTTTGTTCAGTTTTCTTTCTGCTCTCTTGTACTGTAGTCTTCTTTCTTCCCTATTAAATCTTTATTTTTCAGTCATTCAACTATATTCTGTCTTAGGTCTTTTTCATCTTCTTTCTTTCCTCATTTTGCTTTTGTTGGTCTTGACTTCTGTGATCTTTCTTCAGTCTTCTTTGTCTTTCCTTAAGTCCTGTTTCATCACTGTTCTTTTCTTCAGACTTACGTCCTCATTTTCTAGTCTAAAGAATTAATTCCGTCATCTGTCTTCCTTTTTTTCCCATTTCTTAGTTCTGTACTTTTTCTTCATTTCTTTTTCTTCCTCGCTCCAGGGTCTTCTGTTTTTGATTTTCTTTTCTTACTCTTTCTTGGTCCTTTTGTCTTCTTTTGTCAGCTGTCTATCTTCTGTCTTCATTCCATCTTTGGCCTTTAATCTTAGCTGAAAAGGTTGAGATCCATTTTTCATGCTTCCTGTCTTTAGGAAGTTGAATTTTATGCATGGTCTCAGAAGAAGCACTTATCTTCTATTTTGTTGTTTTTGGGGACAGAGGGAAATTTTTGTGATGAGCACTTCACACAGACAGTGAAGTGAAGTAATGGGCATAACCGATGGTATGAAAAAGATTGTATTGGATCAGGCTGGGATGAAATGAATTGCTATTAACAGCTTTGAACTGTACATACTGGAAGATAATAGCAAAGGGGATCATGCCCTGAGGTTAATAACCTCTCCAAGGTAAACATCATGAGATGAAAGGTTCCGAGGGAAAGAGGCCAATGGAGACATGTTACCTCACTAGTCGAAATTTCTGGAAGGCAACTAATGCCTGTATTGAAGCTTTAGTCTACAGCAATACTTGTCAAAATCCTACAATTCTCTGGGCACCAAAAGACTAGAATGATTCTCTGCCAGGCATCCATGCTTGTCGTTGTCTTGAAGCTCCTTGTAGTGGTACCTGTTGTCAGTCTTTCATAGGCTGTTTATGTTTTTGAAGACTACCTACTGACTTCCTGGAATTGAAGAGATTCCTACCAGCAGGCAAAATTGACAAGAAGACACTGGTGATGGACTAAGTGTCAACATTGCTTTAGTGACCGAATTCTCCCCACTACCTGCCACTATCAGTATGCTAACTGCCTGTGTCTCTATGGCGACTGCCTGACTTCTTATCCTCCTTCTCTTGGCTGGATGATTTTTGTTAATGATGACGAAGAAAGTCTATTCTAGGGCGTGTGCATTGTCCCAAAGATCCCTCTTCCTCATGCCTTTGAATTTCTTTTTTCATGGTTTTTTTTTCTTCAGTACTTCCCCCAATTAATCAGGATGAATACAAAAAGTCCTCTATTAATTATTTCTTGGTTCAATTTTAAAATGTCTTTGCCAATTCTAAGCAATGCAGAAATAAAGGCACGAGGTTATGTATGTACTTAGAGTCCTAACCTATGACACCTGATCAATTGCTTATACCTGGAATAGACCTCTAAACCAGAAAAGAGTGGTGAAAACCATTGAGTAGTATAGATTAAAAGTTATTATCTGGTTGAACCTTACTGACAATATTTCACTTATCAGTGTTAAGACTGTTAAGTGAAATGTCAAAAATAAATAATTGACCTGGGCGCAACTGAGCAGGGAGTCAAATGCATCATCAAACATAGGCATGTATCCTGTGAAGTCGAAATGTGCTCCAGCGAAAGTTGAAACCATTTAGATGTGAAGACAGACTTGAACCGGAACGAAGTAAAATCGAAGCCGAATAGAATTTGCTGTTGACTAAATGATTATGTGCCAGCCGAATGAACCTGAAAAGCAACCCAGTTATGAAAGGGAAAAGGGAAGGACCCATCCCTTCCCCAGGGGCATATTAACTAAATTAACTAAAGTTATGTTAAGCCGAATCAGAGGTACATAGACCTCTACCGAAAGTGTATGCATGTATGCTGTGTAAGGCTCAACCAGAGATCTATCTACCCTCCCATCCCATCCCAATTTCACTAACCACCGCCTTGATTTCTCACCAGGGTTGTGTCTCTTTAACCCAAGCGGGAACGGAAAGCACTAAAGTAGACTCTTGGGTCAGGATTACTGATCTGTTTCACTGTGAACTACGGGTTGTTCCGCCAGGAGTTGGGTTGATTTATTCTGTACTGGAGCTATTGGCTTAGATTGAGTACTCTGATTCACATTGGCTAGTTCAATCCTGTGGATAGATAGTATATTGGCCTCTTGTTAAAGCGGCTTCTTGTTAAAGATGGCACAGTAAAGATCTGCCTTCCAAGTCAAGTGGAGTGAGACTGTAAATGTAGACAAAAATGTTTTTTTAACCACCATTGACTGAGTAAGAGACCTGTTTTAAAGATTTTTTTAGTTGTGGCATAGCCGCACTCTAAATTAATGGCCAATTTTACAGATGAATTATCTTTTATGAGCACTTCTGTGCGAAAAAAAAAACCATTTGTAATGGTCGTAGACAACGCAGAGAGAGATAAAATAAACCATTTTAATGTCAAAAACAAAGAACTGTTAGTGTATGACCCTGTTATGCCTTGCGGCGCATTTACTCAGGAAAGTAACTCAGTAAAGTTGCATTGTAAAATTTTTCAGATAAAATCACTTTTCAGATAATCACTTTCAAGAACGGTTCGCTGAAATAATTTTCAACAGTTTCACACAGACTAAACTGAGGATTATATGTTTGGTGGAGGAATTTTTCCAATAAATGTTTAGCGCGTAGCGTAACAAGGAAGCAGTAAACCAACCTCAATCATATACGCAGTTCTCTTAATTTTGCTTTGTTTTCTTAACCTCGATACCTGAAAACCTTTCCCGCCAAATTAAAAAAATTAGAACCTCAATCACTTTGCGAAAAACATTGATTCTAAACGAGAAAAATAACGTAGAAAACGAAGCAAATGATAAATGAAGCTATTTTTCCAAGGAGGGAAGGATTTTCCTTGCTTAAAAAAATGTCAGAATACCGTTTCCCGCTAAATTTTTAGCACGGTCCTTCGCAAGCTTTTTCTGTACAAAAATTTGATTTTGAAAGAGTGAATTTAATCCCCAACGAAGCAAATTTGCTATTTAAAAAGGAAATGATAAATAGCTATTTTTCCGAGAAGGGAAGGATTTTCCTTACTAATAAGAATGTCAGAAAACCATTTCCCGCCAAAAATTAAGCACGGTTCCTCGCAAGCTTTTTCTGTGCAGAAATTGGATTCTGAAAGTGTGAATTATTTCCTAAACGAAGTAAAACTTGCTATTTAGGTTGAATACATAATTTATATTTTACCAATCGTGCTGTTTGAAAATTTTTGGGAGAGACCTCCAGTTAATGAGTTCGCCGCATAAAAAAGTTTTTGAGACGAGCGTTCGTTGCTTTTGCATTTAAGGTTAAAAGAAACTCCGGTGAAAAGTTAGTTATAAGTAAATAATGACATGCAAAACAGTAGATAGATGCTCACCTGGAAAAGTTTTCGTTTCTCTTTTTGAAAAATCGCGGGCATTGTCGACATTGAGAGTGAAACCATTTGTTTGATTCAGGAGCGAGAATTCTTCAATTTTCGCTAAGGTTTCCTTTGCTTTCCACGGAAAGTTACGTCTGAAAATAAAAAAAATTATTTAATTGTGGATAAATATCATTTTAAAAAATTAAGTCATTGTTATAGGACTTAAAACTTGAAACATGACAAAAGGAAGGGAACAAGTTCTCGTAACATAACTCTAAACAGAAGTCATTAAAGAACTAAAAGAACTCTTACATTGTTTGTCAATCTTTTTCATTCCCATTCCAAGAGCTTGGGACGTTGCTTAATATTTTTTGGTCATAAACAAAACGAGTGATAGCAGAAAGATAAATTTGTGTAACGTACAAAAAAATGTTTGCCTTCTTGTTGTCGAAAGACGATTGAAGACTTTGGAAAACTACGCCAGGTTTCATGCTGAACCAAATAGCTCATACTTTTTCCTGATTGGCTAGCAGAATTTCAAGGGTTTACTATAACAGCCGACCCATTACAAGGGTTTACCACTGATTTGCGTCGGAAACGGCTGATACTTCTGTGTTTAAAACATTTTTTCCAATTTTTTTTTGTACTTGTAAGACCAAACCGAAAAACTTTTATCTCACTCGGAATGTAGTTGACAAACTGCTTTCATTGCTCGACTGGATGGTCGCGCTTTAACAAACTGTGCCATGACATTTCCCACGTGGGCTGCTTCTTGATCAGGATTTGCCCATCATTCGCGCCGGATTTCTTGCTCAAAAAGCAAGCTAACAGTCTTTCCTGATTGGCTGACTGTATTTAAGGGTTTACAGTGATTACTGATTTTTTTCCAACCTCGATCAAATAAGACCGAGAAGAGACTTGGACCGAGTACGCTCATCAGGCGGTTTGGTGAGCTGTTAGAAATGGATTGGAAGATATATATTTCGCCTTTCCTCTCCATTTTCTTGACCTTAATTCAGATAACTCTTGCAGAATTAACACCAGAAGAATGCAGAGACTTAGGATTTTCAGTGAATCTCATCTGTAGCTCATGTGACGAGCTAAAACCTTTCAATCTCACATCCGAACCTTCGTTAGAGCAGAATTGTCGAAAATGTTGTCAAGCTGATGGCCAGGAAGAAGCCACGAAGGTTTGTGTAAGATAGATTTTTACCGACCGAAAGCCTCATAACGATTTTCACATGGTCGTGGGGTCCAGCAGTTTTAATTGATACAATCGACAGTCGATGATGATCCATCAATCAAAGGCAACGATGGGTTTTTATCGATGTCAAAGTGTTACTACTGTTACAGTGCTGAAAATCAGCAAATCAATAACCCTTGTGGTCTAGCACACTGTGCATCTATGGTATAAAAATTAACAAACAGGACTAAACAGGTGATGTCATTTGACAAGTCATTTGCAACCAATCTCTGGCCAAAAAAACCATCATTCCTCCAGCTTGAAGGTTTGCAGAAGTTTGTAAATCATTCACCTGTGGCTCATGATGTACAAACTATTCTCTTGTTATCCCAACATCCTGCATTTGGTATAAGTAAAGCCTTTATACGGGCTTAAGTGGCCTATGGGGCTGGTGCTTAACTCCATTTTTCTTAGTATGAAGCGGCTAGGAGTATTGATACTCCTCCCTGGATGCTAGTCCATCGCAGGGTTACCCCAGCACATTTGCTGATACCCATTTGTACACCTGGGTGAAGAGAAGTACTGGCCAGGGCTCAAACCTGGACCACCCAATCCAGAGTCCAGTGCACTAACCATGAGGCCACCATGCCTCCACTGCATTTGGTGTAATGCTGGTAAATGGAAAGTGCAGTTTATTGCTTAAATCATTTAAGTTAACCCTTTCACTTCTGAGATATCATTAGTAATTCCCCCCTTACTGTTTGCCATACAATTCTTATGGTGTTAGTGCAAAGAGAATTTGGTAGAGGATCAACTAAGAATCCCCTAATTGACATTTGTATTTTGTCATTACTTGCTTGCCTGATATTGATTTGATAATGTAAGGAGAAATTCTGTCTTGGTTACTCATAAAAGTTTAAGAGTTAAAAACCAACCAATTTGCATCCAGAATATGATACTTTTTTTTAAGCCTTTAATTCCCAAGATCTGATTGCTAACTCTCCCATCTAGCTGCTATACACTTCCTTGTAAAAATGTTATGAGAATTTGGTGTTATATCATGATAACAACCTCTAACTGATAGGTTTGAGTAATTTCATTACCTGTCTGTTAGATAGTGTATGGATATTGTAAGGAGAAGTTACATATAAATCACTTCTGGGAGATGAAGGGTTCAAGTCCTTTTGTATTTAAATGTGTTTCACATTTTTATGCATTGCATTGAATATATGTTGGATTATTATGGTAACAAACTGAACACTTTCCTATTTTAAATGAAGTAAGCTGTCTTGGTTAAAGACAGGTCATTGGTATAACAGAATTTGACAGTTTGTGTTATTATTTGTAGAGATACGCTTTTGGTACTCTTGAAGTGTGCAACTGAAAGCTGGGGAGGTTCCCTCAGATACAGGGTGAGAAAAACATATCCAATATTGAATTTAAAACTGTAAATTTCTATTATTGAGACTCTTACAATTATTTAACAGGAAAACAACTCGTATTTTTTTTTAAATATTACTAAATATTATTTGATAATCCCAAAGAATCTAAGAAAGAAATAAGTTTGTGATTTTTCAAATCTGTGTTTGTGTTTTTTTTTATTTTAAGTTCTGTTTTTAATATACCTTTTTTTGCACTTAGTGTCAACCACTAGTTTGTATTACATTTCAACATGAAATTATAAGATATCTCTTCTCTTGAAGGTGAAATTCACTCACCAGTATTAACATTGTTTTAAATTGCTTTATACCTCTGCCTCAGTATCATTATTGTATGTTTGTTTTTACAGCCTTTGTCCGTAGTGACAGGCCTGAGAAGTTCCCTAATCTTAGGATAAACGTGAGTAGAATAGCTCTTAAATTTTGTAAAAAGCAAACTCAGAGAGAATATGTTGAGTTATAAAGAGAGGAAAAAACAAGGGAAAGGAAATATTGAAAATCAAGAGAAACACAATTTTACTGTATCGATCAATGTTCATTTAGATTTAAGGCATGTGCCCAATTAGGTAGCTCTTTTTAGAATATTCCACACTAATGTACAGATGAACTTACTGTCCCATCTTTATTGAAATTAGTTCACTAGTCCATAAAAAATTGGATGGTTTTGATATAGAATTTTTCTAAACTGTAGTTCGTACGAGGAGCCGACCCTGTTTTAAAGCTTCATGATGAGAGTAACGAGGTGAAAGAAGTTCTAAGGTGAGTAAATGATATTTGTGATTAATTTTTAGATTAGTTATAATAATTTTACTGTCAACCAACAATAGGAAGAAGGTTGTAGAAGTACTTAAGTGTTGTTAAAAAGTTGCTAAGCTTATTGCATCCAAGGGTTTTAACCCTTTGATTACCAGGGGTGTTCAAGATGTAATTTCTCCTCACAATATCGATACAATATCATGCAGACAGGTGACGAGAATATTGGGAACCATTAACTTACAAATTCATGCTTGACTCAGCACCAGATTCTCTGAACTAAGGTTATAGGAAGGAAATGGCAGATAGTTGAGAGAAGTACCATGATTGGGACAAACCCTTTAACTCCTAAGTTCTGCTTGTTAATTCTCCCTTCTAGCTGCTGGACATTTCCTTGTAAATTAGTGATGAGAATTTGGTATTAAATCAAGTGAACAAGGGTTAAGCCAAATCATATTATACCAAATCATGTTATACTCTGACCAGATGGTTCAGATACTGATAACATTTTTCAGGGATGAAAGGTGCAACTTCTGGCTCTGTAAGATTTTCTTTTTCCCTTTGATGTTGAATCTAACAAAGTAAAAACAATAATAATCTTGCTCTGCACAGTAAATAACTTCAGTAAATAACTAATCATTTTATTTTGATGAATCATATTTAGGAAGCCTAAAAGTAGTCCTGATTCCTTTTTTTTTTCTTTCTTTTCTTTCTTTTTTTTTTTTCAGCATTGAGAAGTGGAACACTGACAGTGTGGAAGAATTTCTCAATGAGAGACTTGCAAAATAAAATTATTTAGTTATTAGAAAAATATATAATGAGAAGAAACCTTGTACATTATGATGAAAACTTCATGTAAAACCATGATAGGTGTATGAAGTTGGAGGAAATTGTGTCCAAAGGACTTCTTTAATATTTGTTGAAAAAAAAAAACTTTAAAAACAGAAATGTCTGTTGTTTCAGAAGTGCTTAAACACCAGCTGTCTCAATAGATGGCATCAGAGTAGTAAGAGAATGTCAACATCTGGGAATAAGATTTTATGGAAAGTAGTTCCAGAACCTTTCACTAGCTATGCCTTTATTTGTTGCGAAACGTACTGCAGTGCTTTTCAGTAGCATGCAAACTCCTGAAATTGGGATGACATCAGTGACATTTTTTTAACAGCCTTCAATCACATTATGGACCTTGCAGCAAGCTGGTGCAATGTTTTAAAAGGTTATGAAAGGAGTTAGATCCATTTTGTTTGTTTCTGTCTTTCAATGACTCTTACAGTAATGATTCCTTAAGTTGTAAGTGTGAGTAACAGTCTCAGAGTTTACACATTTCTGAAAGGCAATGTAATCTTAGCAATTGATCTTGAGCATGAAAAGCTACTAGTAAGCAAACTCTAACAAGCTTTTATCCATAAGCCCATTGAAGGTAACACAAGTTATAAATTCTCACAAATATCTTTTGGGAAAAATGACAGCTAATTTATGCTCTGTTTTCATGATGACTTTACAGTAAACTAGATACGAGTTTGTAAAGTTGGAGGCTTTGAACAGAATGATATTAGTGATACATCCATCTTCAATTGCCTGTTAGATATGTTGTTTTGGGAACTCATTTGCGGACTCTTGTATAAAAATGCTATTTAATAAAAGTATTGTTTCAGGTGGAATCATGTTTTGCATAACTTACTCAGCAAACTTATTAATGAGTAATGACGTTTTCCAAGAACATCCAACAGGACAATATTGAAAAAAATTATGCTGCATTTCACTAATCATATTTTATTCACACTCATGCAAAGACATAGTATCTTAAACAAGTCCTTGCATGTTAAAATGTTTAAAAAAGTTTTTGCAACCACATAGATGTGTTTACTCAATGCTTATTTAAATAGTGTTACATTTACTGTGAAAGTCTTCAAATATCATTTTTCAGCAGTCACTCTGGCTCTTCAACACTTCGTCCCCAAAACACAGAGCATCTCAACCAATGTGTTAATAAATATTAGTAGTTGTACACTAGAGGGCATATTTATTCCTCTCCCTTCAAGATGACGTGATTAAGCTAAAGCAAGCTGAATAAACTTCACGTCACATTGTTTACTAAAAATTACATAATTCAGCTGCTCCCTAACATGCCAATGTTTTTAAGGTTTTTAAGTTAAGCATAATAGTAAACAAGAAACTGCAAGAAAAAATTAAATCAAGCCCATGCCATTCAATATTTGTTGACTTTTGACCAGTCATTAACTCTAAATAACTTTCTCTTCTCTTTCTTTCTCGTTTCAAAACACGACTTAAATTAGAAACACTCTGTAAATTGTTTTTGATTGGCAAGAAAATTTTAAGCAGTCAATTAATCAACAACTAACATCAAATAACTTAAAACCTTAATGTAACTCTAAAATCAAATCACAAATTTGTCTTTGGGTTCACTGACAGATCCAAGATTACTGCTAAAATTCTGCCAATTTAAATAAATTATGTCAACTTTCATGAGTTCCAAACTCCAATGTGTTTTCCAACAAAAACTCTGATAACCAGACATAACAGAGGTTAAATTATGGAATCTACTGTAACATTCTGCATCGCCACAAAGGTACAAATCAACAACTAACAGCTCATGTTTTAAGTTGTGCTGAGCTTGTTTGCCTTTTTCTAACAGTATTTATATATTAAGTACAGGTTTCACATTTCTGTAATCTTTTCCAGGCTAAATGTGAAAAACTCAGTTCAGTTCTACTAAAGACTCAATTTTAATGTGACTGAAAATGAGTCACTTTAAAATAAAATATTGTCAGGAGCAAGCACCAAATCTGCAAGGATAAATGTATTATAGGTATGGTTGAAAATACAAAGGCTGAAAAATCACTGATGTTGATGAAGGAGAATTGCATCACTCATGGTTTGTACTTTTTTTGGAAAAGTGGTGAACTAAACTATGTTCATCAACTCTAAAATACAAAATCTTATAAAATCTACCTCTAATAAATTAATAAATTAATATTAAAACTAATATACTTCCAAAACCTATCCAGGAAGCTCAAATACAAATACAATGAAAAACTAAATCAATATCCTTTCCAGGATTAAAATGAAGTCCACTCTTTTATAATTGTTTTGTAATCAAGATAGATGCCGATGCTGCAGTTTCTGAATGAACTAATCTCTCAATCGGAACTAACAAAACAGTTCCATTTGTCATTTTTTGTGTCATAACATTCAATGCTCTTCAGAAATGACGTGCCACCAAAACCTCCCACGGTGTAGATGTGGTCTTTAATGACCACAGTTCCAACATTATGGCGGGGAATGTTCAAACTAGCCACTGTTTTCCACTCATCAGTTGAGGGATCATAGCACTCTACGCTGTTGAGGAAATTCGTGCCATCAGATCCACCAATCACAAACAATTTACCATGAAGTGCTGCTGCACCAGCCCCCCGACGGGCTGTCTTCATGGGTGGAACCAAATACCATCGATCTTCTTCAGGGTCATAGCACTCCACAGTATTGAAACAAGTCCATCCATTGTACCCCCCAATTGCATACAGCTTCCCATTCAAGGCTTCCACACACAGGTTGTTTCTCTCTGTGTTCATTGGGGACACCCTGGCCCACTCCCCATTCTCTGGATTATAAACTTCAACGCTTTTCAGGTTTCTGGGACCTTGGTAGCCCCCAACTGCATAGATGCGTCCATCAATGACTCCTGTTCCAAAACTGCATCGGCTTTGTATCATGGGGGGTCCAAAGCTCCAAATGTTGGTAGATTCATCGTAAGTTTCCATGGTGTTGAGTTCAGTGTTTCCATTGGAGCCTCCTATGGCAAATATCTTCCCATTCACCACTTCTGACTCCAGCCGTCCCCTATGCGAGTTCATGCTTGTGACAGGCATCCACTCATTTGTCTCACAATCATACTGTTCCACTGTGTTTAGACAGTCGCCCCTATCATAACCACCAATGGCATACAGCTTTCCATTTAGTTCGACTGCTCCCACACTACAGCGACCTGATAAAAAAAAAACAGTTACACCTGTCATCGGTCTTCTTCCCACTTTCCTTTTGTTCCAATTACCTACCAATGCAGCACAACAGCTTCTTGGTTAACCTTCATGTACTTCACATATTCATTAAAAATTTAACAGGGTACAAACCAACACTTAGATCCAGGTTTTGAATTGTTCCAGATAACAAATAAGTTTTGTTGTTTGTAACTAGATTTTCTTCAATGTGGCCGTAGTTTATATTTGACTTTCATTTTAAGCACTACCAGTAGCTGAGCCAATCTGAATGCTTTATTCCTGTAAATTCAATTAAAAAGAGTTTTGTGAGTTCCTAGCAGAAACTAATCCAACAACAGATTATGTTACTGTTCATGAAAGCCAGTTACATTCATTTAGCATGGTTACTAATTAAAAAGCAGAAAATAGCTGAAGTTTATTGAAAAAAAAAATGTTTTAATGTGGATGGGACAAATTTTTATGCTCTCATCTCAAATTCTTAATCATTTACCATCACTCCCATGATTAAATAAGTAACTCTCCCTTCCACTACTCAATACATCCTTGTTAATTGGACAAGAGAATTTACACTGTTACACACCTCTGCTCATTGGGGCGATGAGCACCCATTCTTCTCCGGAGCAGCAGGAGTCACCAGAGTCTGACATGTTGGCACATGTTGAGGCTTGACTATGAATGGATATGGCTACCAGCATCCCTTCGACATGGGCAACACCCACACAGCCACTGTCACTGGTTTGAGTGGCACCAATCACATTGAAATCCTGAATCATATGAGTGTTTCTGTTTCTTTTGTTGTTGTTGTTTTCCATCAAAACAATCAATTCCTCTTCATCTTCACTGGTGCTTGCCTCAGCTTTAGCCAGCTGTTCAAGTGACGTGTAGCGGATGTATTCTCGTTGAGCCTCTGTGATGATGAGCTTGGATTTTTCATCTCCAGAGTCAAGATCTTCCATAGTGCACTCTTTTAATTCCTCATTGGCTGTCAGGAACATAATGTGGGTTTTCTCCAATAGTTCTCTCAAGCTGATATTTCCTTGCTGCCAAACAAAACATCATAGCAATTGATAAACCAATGTCTCATTTTTAGCACAAAAAAATAAACCAAAAAAAAAAACAGTACAGGTTTGTATGTTATTACATGTCAATCAGTTCAGAAGGGTCAGATTTTATAATAACAATAATATAATAATACTTATATAGTGCCGATATCAATATTGCTATTTTCATCAGCCCTTAAAAATAAAAATATTTCAAAATTACCTTGACTACTTAAATCGTAACAATAAATTGCATAAAACCTAGTAAAAACAAGATTAAAAGGCACATAAAATCACAAAAAAGCTTTCTGAAATAAAAATGTAGAGTGTCTTTTTTAAGATGCTATTGAAGGGCTACTCCTAATTGCATAGAGCAATGAATTCCATAGTTGAGGAGCAGCAGCAGCAAAAGATCGAAAGATGGTTACTTAGGTACATAGGTAACCATCAAAAGATGGTAACCTATGTGCCCTGTTAGAGAGCAAATGGTAAATTACCCAACTATTATGTGAAAAAGTACTTAACCAGAACAGAAAGCTTTATTTTAGAGAGACTAAAACAATATGCTTAATAAGACAATAAAAACAAAACAAAAATAAGTCTGAAAGTCTAGTCTCACATATTTAGTTATTATCGCGTCAACTTTCTCATTTGGTATTGTCTACTGTGCAGAAAATGTACTCCAGCTCTATAAAAAGAGTAACATTTACGGTAATAAAAGCAGACTTCACTACTTTAAAAGAAAAATAAACATTGCACTCTCACAAAACAAGAAGGAGTGAGGATTTTGTCTCTCACAATGATCCAATTTTGTAATTTGACCAAGGCATTCACATAGGGAAAGTTAGTCAAATATATGGATCTCATGGTACAC